CGAGGAACGAGGTTCAGGCCGACCTGGGCTACTCCATCAACCATACTCGCTCTGTTCCTGTCCGACCACATTCCACTTCGTAGGCTCGGTTCAGTTGTATATTCTGCTTTTGTTGAGATTTCTTCACTCGAGAATGAAGTTTGAGGGGGCCCTGCAAATAGCATAGAATGCGTGCTTTCCGTTAAACCTTGGGAGAAGTTATTTGTATTCAGACATTTGGGAGACCAGCCTGCAGCCACAGATCCCTTTCGAAGCATTGGTTGCACCTCGGAGGACTGGAGGCTCGAAGTAACTGCTCTCAACTCAGCGCTTTGCTGTAGTATTGTTCTTGAGTGTTGCGTCATCTGAGAAGTTTGATGGCTTCGCTCAATGGGGATAACAATTGAGTCCTGCTTCCGTGTGCAATCTGTAGAACCGATTCTGAAGTCTCTCGACACTCCAGATGCTCCTGCCGTGCGCTTGTTTGATGGTGGAACGACATTCGTCACGTACACGTTTTCACCTAGTTGAATTCCAACTTCTTCAACATCCTTCATTTCGACAACTTGAATGCCAGTGGTATCTGTGATGACCGGTACCATTTCTGTTGCTGAAGAGGCCAGAATCGCACTGACTTTCAAATCCACAGTATCGCCTTCCATGACAGGGACATCGACCGCCAGATGTTCGACGTCTACCTTGTCCATGTGGATCTTCGTCGGAACCAGCAGAGTGCCGACTTGCGATGAAACCGAAATTACGCGTTTGTTGGCCGAGTTGTAGTAGGACTCGCGGGTTGCCATGGACCCACTACTGGAGCCTTCGAACCGCGGTTTGAACAATGCCAGATTAAGGCCTGATCGTTTGCGGTCAAGCGAAATCGACTTGTCCAAGAGACGCACGCAGGCACTCGTGCCTACGGAATCGCAGACCACATCTGCTGAGTACTTGGCATTGTTGTATTGGACAGCCAGTTCACCCTGCACGTTTGCGAGTTTGATGCCCGGAGCGTCAGAGAGTGCCACGGTTGCTTGCATATCCGTGGGACACAGCACCGAGTGTAAGCCGCTTCTGGATAAGCCTGTTGAGACCTCCACGCGGCTGCTGTCAAGAGCCATCTTCTGCATGCTCAATTCCAGTGGAACAAGGACCGCTCCAACCTGAGTGGACATGTTCACATGCTGTGGTTTCATGCTGACATTACTGCCACTGCCACCCGATGACTGTGGAACCGTGTACTCAGCAAATCGAACTCGAAGGCTTGTCTGCTGTTCTGAGTCGTGTAAATCAGTAAAACCTCCGCTTGTAGATGTCCTGGACAAATTTGATTCAAGGGGAATAGTTTTATCGTCAAAGCTTTTACTGACACCTTCATAGCTCCCGGATTGCATAGCATTATATTTTGAGCTGACAGTAGTAACGAACCGATTCCGGCCGTGTACTAAACTCAGCTCCCTGGCTTCGGCGATCGGCAGTACATCAACTCCAGTAGATTCCGCCAGAACCTGGTCATATTGAACCGCCGACGAACAGAGCAAGGCATTCACATCGAGCTGTTTGCTTTCGCTGGACTTTTTACTAGTTACCACGGCTTCCATGTTCTCCACCTTCACCTGCTGAACTTTGACCGTTTGAGGAACAAGCTTAAGTCCCACCTGAACCTCGCCATCCCTCATTTCTTTGGCAGGAGGCAAGGACGACTCAACCATGGATTCAGTCACGGGGGTGATCAAATCCCCTGACATTC